TCATTCATCTATCAAATATCTACTTCGCTTGAGATTCTTGGCCAGGTCATGGGCAATAGCTATTCCCCCTTTCATTTATCGCAGTTTATATTTAAGAACTCCTTGGATTAAGGGCTATATGGTCAAAATGTGGGAGAGCTGTATGGTTGTTTCATGTATCTCAAATTTGTGTGAGCTATGTTTGGAGCAAGTTATGTATATCCCTGCTTTCAACGACCTCGCCGTTTATGGAGCCTTACCGGACTAAACCCTAGACAAACTTGAATTGGAGTACGCAAAGCGAGATCCAAACTCAATCTTTATGCCGGACGTGGAGAGCATCATCAGCTTATGCGGCTCCAATTTGGAACATTTAAACCTCAAATTTACTTACTCAGTAGGATTCTCAGATGGTGTGATAGCTGCATTGAAACAAACCAAGAAGTTAAGAACATTGAAAATTGAAGGAACAAAGGTGGGAGGGATCCCAAACAATTCGAAATCCATCACTGCTGTCTTGAACAATGCTACATCGTTAGAATCTTTATCATTCAGACTGGCGGCTCTCCGTTATCTCCACGTGGACGCTGGCGCTTTACCTAATCTGATGCATTCATTCCTACAATCTCCTCGCCTTCCATGATTTCTGCGCAATCAAAGGCAAGAAAATCAGACTCTTAGGATACACGCCGTCTTTTGACCCCGACGATTGTGCTGGAATTATCATAATAGTTAAACAATGGACGGCTTCGCTTACAAAACCTTGAACAAAACTCATTTGACCCCCAGTATTAGAGTTTTGCTCCGAGTCAGAAACCTCCTTTAGTCAATCGACACTGAAAATTATACCCATCGGTACCTCATTTATCCACCCGACCAATACCTTCCTCCTCCTTCCTCACATCTTCAAAAGCCCACTTCGACTCTCAAGCAATCAGTCTTGCCCCACGAACTACTCTCAAGATACACAACCGGTCACTGCTTGGTATACTACAGTACGATTCATGTATTGATGCCCGTCCTCAGACCAATGGTAGTTGTACAGTGATCTGTAATGTTTTCACGTATCATCAAGCCGGCCAGTTTCAAAATTAACCAACAGGTCGTTTACAAACTTCTGACCTCAGATAAGTCACACAAATATCACTTTTAGTATCATTTTCACTGGATCATATTCTGACGCTTCTTCCGTATTTGATTGACTCAGCAATGGTTATCCACAGTTGGTGGCTTGATTTTAGCCCGGGCCCATTCGAAATGTCCAATAGGGGTATGAACTTTCAATCTTGGCGACCTTCAGAGATTGTGTTTTGTAGTGAACATCTACCAGGCTATCACCGGTGAGTAACAAAAGTATTAGAAGAGTATGAATCCTCTTTGCTAATTAAGATTTTCATACTGCATTAGTTAGGCAGTCATTGAACAACCCTCTTCAATATCTTATACCCGGCCATTTGGAAATTCCCAACACGGGTCCCGTGACGTGACCCATCCCCACTGTCACGTCTCAGCTTCACAATCTTCGAAGATGGTTTTTCGTAGTGAATATTAACCAGTAAGCAACGTTTTTTTCAGCAGGGTATGAAGCCATCTTTGCTAACTAAGATATTCATATTGCTTATCCATCTTGATATCCAGGTTAGTGCTGGATTGTGACCATCACTGATGTCAGACTAGGCCACGAGTCCTTCAATAATTAGGGTCCCTGCAATTTCTACCTTTTTTGATGATACATGACTTCAAAGCATATCATTCATATTAAAGGCAAACATGCAATTCAAACAAAACCTGACAAAATATGCCATTAGCCCCATTTTTGGGTTTTGCACATGTGTCAAAAACCATTTCGTGGCAATCAACATAATAATTTGTCCTCCATTTGCAAATCCGACTATCTACTGCCGCTATAAGCTCCCCCATGGTCCAACTCCCTTCATCTCCTTCTTTAAATCCAAGTCTAGCTGACCCTCTTGATACACCCAATCTTGCTCATACACACCTGAGTTGTCAGATCCATCTCCTTGTCCGTGGATTTCATGCAGATCCCAGCTTGCAATATGGAATGTCACCCGTAACCCCCCGTAAGGAAAATCGGTGTGCCGTATTTCAGGCACTCAAGCTTTCATCTATACTAATGAGAGATTCTTTTAGCACATTTCCCCCGATCAAAATCCACCAAATGATCATAAACAAAGAAGGACTTCAATCAATACACATTCAAATCTTTAATTGCGCTCAATTTGTACATCTTGAACAAAATTCATTGCACAAGCTCAAACACAAATTGATAGATGGGCTCAGACAATCAATTGAACTTACACTTTGCATTCAACTCATTGTCAAAGTCATGAATGTAGAATACTTCAGCCTTTATTACAACATACTTCAGATTGCGTAATGGTTTGCCGGATTGATTATGCAAAACAGTTCATGATATCATTCAAAAACTTGTCACATATGGAAGGTTAGTATTTGGATTGAAATCATCAATAATCTTTCTACTCATCATATTCACCGCGAACTTGACAATTTGAACTCTAAGATACACATCAAATCCAAAGCTCAGCCTCAGCACACATCTGATTGTATAATTTCTTTTGTTTGTTTTTAGACTTCAAATCTCTCGATCCCGTTTTTCATCAAATATCAGAAAACACTCAAACATGTCTGATACTTGATTGATAAAAGAAACCTGAAATTC